GAAGCCTGCTTCTCCCTCTCCCACTCCCCCTGCTTGTGTTCCCTCTCTCGCTCTGTCTCTCTGTCAAATAAATAAATAAAATCTTAAAAAAAAAAAAAAAGAACACAGCGTAATGGCTCTCGGGCTCGTTCAAAGAAGCATCTCAAATTCCTTTGGGCCCAGCTCAGCAGGGGTCCTCGCCGCACGCTTCAGAACAAGGGCCATGATGGCGCCCGACGCCGCCGTCCCGGGCTCCGGGGGGGCCACCAGGCCACGCGGCTCCCTGTGGAGGCCCCGCAGCTGCTCTGCCCTCCGTGAACTCAGACGCCGTGACACACCCGGAGCCTGCCTCGGAGGCCACCGGGAATGGACAAAGGAGCCACAGCAGAAACTCTGCCTTGTTCCGCGTTTAGGTTTAGATGCCGAACAGAAATGAGACGGCCGCGCATGATTACCTAGTTAAAACCCAAGCAGGTGAGCGTTCTTCTGAGTAAAACAAGAAGCCTAAGCAGAGATTCCTGAGAGGCACAACTTCCTGATAGGCTTTGCTTTTGAAGGAGCAGGAGGTTCACATAGCCCAGGAAGGCAGACCTGTGAGGATTTGGCAGGGGCGGGAGGGGGGGGTGGTGGGGGGAGGGGGTGGGGGTGGTCGTGACCCTTGAGGATGGGTAGGAGAGAACGGTCCCAGTTTCCCGAGAGCACACTCGCTCATCTGTCGTTTTAGATGTTCTCAAGTGGTTGATCACAGACCTCACATGTTGCCAAAAAGGAGTGCAACTTAATAATAATGAATTGGACTGTTCTTTTCACATCCACGAGGCTGTTCCAGGCCCTGCAGAGTGCCCAGAGCAGCTGCTGGGGGCCTGTTCACAGCATCCCTCCTGGGTATTTTTCAAAAAGATCCAATTGCCCTCATTCCCCCATGATAGCCTGTTTTCTCCTTAAGCATTCTAACATTTAATTTCCCTATTATTAAACTATTTCCCCAGATTTTCTAGACTTCCTTTGTTCCTTCAGTGTTTTTTGGTTTTACATGAACTTTACTGCTCTGGCAAGTAAACTACTCATCTTGCTTTTTGTAATTTTCTGTCCCAGCTGCCTAGCCCTCCAAAACCCACCCACTGTGCAAACACCATGACCAACATCACACCAGGATCACAGTGCAGTCACACTCAATCACGCACAAAACTTTCATCAACGCTGCCCAGAAGGCTCTAGACTTGTAGGAACACAACCGACCCAGGAAGTCATGTGATGGTTAAACGTTCATCTGCGGAGCAGGTACGATCATCCTTAAAAGGATCTCGTCATTTCCCAGACACAAACACTTGCCTTGGAGATCAGCTCATCGTGATTGGCCAGGTGGGCTCTGCAGTGGACACAGCTGTATGTTCGGTGACAGTTTGGCAGATAAGCTTGGAAAGTTTTGGATTTTGTCATCTTCACCATCTCGGCTGGGCACTCTTCGCTCAGCTCAGGGCTGGCACTGGAAGGCTGGTGGCTCTGCTGGGCTCTCTGACAAAAGAGACACTGAAAGATGCACGCAAGAGCCGTTGTTGTTCGGAGGGCGTGTGGCACTGTCCACACAGCTGGGATGAGAGAAAAATGTCACAACCTGTCAACGAATCAAGACAAAGCAGAGGCTTACGGAGGGAACGAAAATACTTCAAGGAGGCATGTTTAGGATGTGTGTGTTTTGAGTTGGGGCACCTGGGTGGCTCAGTTGGTTGGGCGACTGCCTTTGGCTCGGGTCATGATCCCAGGGTCCTGGGATCGAGCCCTGCATCAGGCTCCCCGCTCAGCGGGAAGCCTGCTTCTCCCTCTCCCACTCCCCCTGCTTGTGTTCCCTCTCTCGTTGTGTCTCTCTCTGTCAATTAAATAAATAAATAAAATCTTAATAAAGAAAAAGAACAAAGGATGTGTGTGTTTTGAGGAATAGGGTTGAGGGGCAGAACTAGATCGGATTCTTTAATATCAGTCACTGTTTCACCATTCTAAATGTCATTGGAAGTGGCAAAGTGAACTACTTTTACATACAAATACTTTGAGAAAAACATCTGATTAAGTGTATTTTAGGCCGCCTGTAGCTTCAGGAAATGTAAAGAAAGAACAGCCAACAAGCCTCCTGTCTGAGTGAGGCCAGCAGCACTGCACACAGCTTGTCCCGAATCCTGGAATTAATGACTCAAAGCACCATGACATTTATGAATATGCGTGAGGGATCCAGTTTAATTAATCCTGAAGAAGTTACATATCAATCCGGAAACAAACCCTTTATATGGTCAAATGATTTTCGACAAGGGTGCCAAGATGATTCAATGGGGAAAGGGCAGTCTTTTCAATAAACAGTGCTGGGAAGACTGGATAGCCACATGCAAAAAAATGAAGTTGGGCCCTTATTTAACACCATAGACAAAAATTAACTCAAAAGTAGATCAAAGACCTAAATGTAAGAATGAAAACTATAAACTGTTAGATGAAACTAGAAGGGAAAGCATCCACAACACTGATGTGGCTTGATTTCCTGCAAATGACACAAAGGCCCAGACACATATTTAAATTTACAGAAGGTAAAGTGAGAGAAAAACGGGGCAGAGCACCTGTAGAACACCAAAGAAAGAGAAATAAAAGTCTTAGAAGGATCCAAAAGGGGAGGGAAAATTACCGAACAACAGAACCCAGAAGGCAGTCGGGGAAGGTACCTTTAAGGTCCTGAAAGGCAATAATGGCTATTCCAGAATTCTATATCCAGTGAAAATATCTTTCAAGAATTCCGGAATGACATTTTCAGGCCACTAAAAAGTTTGACTTCTGCAAAATATCACTAAAGGAGGTGCAAGGATGTGCTTCAGACACAAGAAAAACAACAGAGAACGTTAGAGTCTAAAAAAAGGAATGGCGAATGAAGATGGCAAGTCCTTGGGTAAACAGGCCGGCAGTGTCTCGGAGAGCTTTGAAGACAGGACTGTAAGGTGGCGCCTGGGCCACTCAGTCGGTTAACTGTCAGACTCTCCATTTCCACTCAGGTCGTGATCTCAGGGTCGTAAGACTGAGGCTGGCCTCAGGCTCCGTGCTGGGCGTGGAGTCGGCTTAAGATTCTCTCTCTCTCTCTCTCTCTCCTCCACCCCCTCTGCCTCTCTCCCTCCCCTAAAAAAATAAAAGAAAAAGATAGGACTGTAATACATGAGCGCGGTAACTCAGGGTGGGAGCTCCGCTGAAAAATTTCTAGAGTCCTTGTATTATTCAAAAAAGTAGATAAAAGTATAGGTTAAGCTTCAGATTCTGGTAAAGTAAGGATACATGTTGTGATTTGGATGAAATTTCTGTAACAACAAAACCTAACTGTGTAACTTCCAAACCTACAAAGGGGCGTATCAGTGAATGATAAAATGTCAGTCTAAAAGGACACACAAGAAAGGGGGTGCCCAGCTGGTGGAGCATGCATCTCTTGATCTTGGAGCTGTGAGTTCAACAATTCATCTAGATGCAGTTTGTAAGAGACATACCTTAAAATAAGGACACAGACTGGCTGAAAGATAAGGCTGGAAACCTGATGGTGGCAACACAGACATAGGGCTTATAATTATTTACTAACAATATATTTGTTTTATGTATTATATGCATGTGATTCACAATAAAGAAGTTAAAGTAGTAAAAAAAAAAAAAAAAAAAAAAAAAGGGCGCCTGGGTGGCTCCGTTGGTTGAGCGACTGCCTTCGGCTCAGGTCATGATCCTGGAGTCCCGGGATCGAGTCCTGCATCTGGCTCCCTGCTCAGCGGGAGTCTGCTTCTCCCTCTGACCCTCTTCCCTCTCGTGCTCTCTATCTCTCATTCTCTCTCTCTCTCAAATAAATAAATAAAATCTTTAAAAAAAAATAAAGTAGTAAAAGGATTGGGCACCTGGCTGGCTCCGTCGGTAGAGCATGTGACTCTTGATGTTGGGGTCGTGGGTTTGAGGCCCATGTTGGGTGTAGAGATTACTTAAAAAAAAAGCAGTAAAAGGACAGAAAAGATACAATATGCAAATAATAAAAGAAAAACCATATTAATATATTAACATTTCCCTTAAATAATATTTAAGGGAAGACTTTACTAGATAGAAAAATGGGTTACTTCATAATGCTAAAAATAGCAGGGAAATAAATAGCAAGTGTAAATCTTACTACCTAATAACAAAGCCTCAAAATATATAAATCAAACACTGACATAACTTCAAAGAGAAATAGATAAATCTTCAATCAGAATAGGATTACTGGGGGTGTCTGGCTGGCTCAGTCGTTGAGCATGCAACTCTTGATCTCAGGGTCGTGAGTTCAAGCCCCATGCTGGGCATAAAGCTCAGTTTAAAAAAAATAAGATTACTGATTATGGTGTGTAAATGTGGTATACTTATTACATATTTATCTTATACTTAAAATATAGCATATATAGTATAAATATATTTATATTTTACTATGCTTTTCAGTGACTGATAGAACAAACACAAATGATTACAGCCAGAGAGGATGTGCACAATGCGATGAACCTAAAAGACATGGAGAAAACTGTAAGAACTGCAGAATCCACATTCATTCAAAGCACACAAACATTTACAAAAGCCAGCCCTACAAGTCTCAGCCAACTTCCAAAAATTGAAAACACAGTATATTCTCTGACCACAGTACACTTAAGTTGGAAAACAGAAGAAAAATCTTTGTATGCTTAGAAATTCAGAAATGTACCTCTAACACAAATAAATGGAAAGATATTCTGTCCTCATGGACTGGAAGAATACTGTTAAAATTCTCATTCGACCCAAAGCCATCTAGAGATTCAGTGCAATCCCTAACAAAATACCAGTGGCATTTTTCATAAAACAAAGGATCCTAAAATATGTATAAAACTACAAAAGACCCCAATAGCTAAAGCAATCCGGAGAAAGAGGAACAAAGTTGGAGGTATCACAGTCCCTGATTTCAAACTATACGACAAAGCCACAGTAATCAAGGCAGTGCAAAAACAGACACACAGGTCAACGGAATTAATAGAGGGCCCAGAACAAACTCACACATGTACAGCCAATCTAGGACAATGGTGGCGAGAATACACAATGAGTCTCTTCAATAAATGGTCTTGGAGACACTGGACAGCTAGGTGCAAAAGAATGAAACTGGACCACTGTCTTACATCATACACAAAAATAAATTCAAAATGGATTGAAGACTTGAATGTAAGACCCCAAACTGTCAAACTCTCAGAGAAACCATAGGCAGTAAGCCCTTTGACATCATTCTTAGCAGTATGTTTTTTTGGACCAGTCTCCTCAGACAAGGGCAACAAAAGAGAAAATAAACAAATGGGATTATATCAAACTAAAAAGCTTTTCCACAGCAAAGGAAACCATCAACAAAACAAAAGACCACCTAGGAAATGGGAGAAAATATTTGCAAGTCATACATCTGATAAGGGGTTAATACCCAAAATATACAAAGGACTTAACACAAATTAAAAAAAATACCCTGATTAAAAATGGGCAGGGGGGTGCCTGCCTGGCTCGGTTGGAAGAGTATGCGATCCTTGATCTCGGGGTTGTGAGTCTGAGCCCCATGTTGGGTGTGGAGCCTACTTAAAAAAAAAAAAAAAAAAGGGCAGAGGACTTTAATGGACATTCTTCCAAAGAAGACATCCAGATGGACGACAGCCACATGAAAAGATAGATGACTCAACATCACTCATCATCTGGGAAATACCAATCTAGTTTTGATTTTATTGTAGTTTTCAGTAAGTTATCAGCTCACACCTTTCAGATTGGCTATTATCAAAGAGACAAAAAAAATAAGAGTTGGCGAGGTGTGGAGAAAAGGGAAGCAGCCCAAGTGTCCATTGATAGAAGAATGGATAAAGAAGATGTGGCGCATATACACAATAGAATACTATGCAGCCGTCTCACCATGAAATCTTACATGGATCAATGTCAACAGTACTACACTAGGTGAAATAAGTCAGAGAGAAAGACAAATACCATACGATCTCACTTGTGTGTGGAATCTAAACAAAAAAATGAAAGAAAAAACAAAACAGAAGCAGACTCACAGATACAGAAAACAAATGGTTTATTACCAGAGGGGAATGGGTAGGGGGATGGGCAAATTCAGTGAAGGGGATTAAGGGGTACGAACTTCCAGTTAATAAAATAGTTATGGAGATACAATGTATGGCATAGAGAATATGGTCAGTAACTTTGTAATAACTTTGTATGGGGACAGAGGATACTAGATTTATGGTGGGGATCATTTCATAATGTATAAAAATATCTAGATCAATAAAAAGATCAAGATGATGTACAGCTGAATCTAATAGGATATTGTGTGTCAATGATTCTCCGATATTTAAAAAAGTATAATCTGAGGAGAGAAAGGAATGTACTTCTATATACCCATGGGTCTAAGAATGGAAATTAGAAGATATTTTTATTAATATTATTAAACAATAATAAAATAACTACTTTCTAGTACTTAAAGGGAAATGTATGATTTTATAGGATGTAGATTAGAAAATATGACAGGTGAAATTGATGAGCTAATCTTTTTTTTTTAAGATTTTATTTATTTATTTATTTGAGAGAGAGCTCCCAAGT